AATAACCATAGCAACAACCATTTATCTAAAAAAAAACAAGGCAATTTCCAAAATGGAGGAATTTTTAACAAAAGACATGGTCTCCATGGGAGGTATTTGTTCTAGGTGTATTTGTTTTTTCGGAAATTGAAATGGTTATGATTAATTGGTAACAGGTTTTCTTGTTGTCCAATTCTGTCTGTAATCATAATAGTGATAAACAAATCAGACCCCTGCTTTGCAGTCGTCCAATTTTGTTAATCACTCATATGATTACAGATCGAATTAGACTCCACTTGGTCCTATTACCATTATCAATTGTGCCTATTTCTGGTGAATGCATACCCCTTACTAACCCTTTGTTCATGGTCCAGGGATCAGACTGTTTGTTTCTCTTTCCCTCCCCCTCCCCCCACCCCCCCCCCTTCTTCCCCTCACTGCCTCATAGGGGATTGATTGTGTAAAATAGAGAAGACAAAGTCAGCAAGATATACTTGCTATGCATGGCAGGATTGGGGAACAATTTTTGGTCATGAGAGACAGCTGTAAATGAATAACTCACATCAAGAGCAAGTGGGGTCAATTTGAAATTTTTGTTCAGGTTTAGCAAGTTAAGTAGCCAGGAAAATTAATGATTTAGACTTTTATTTCCTCACAAAAGTTAAAAGCTTTTGTAATAAATGAAAGATTTGTGAGAAAAGATCTGAGAATTCTTAATGGTGTTGGTCACAGTTAAACCTAGTAAATTGACAATCACAGCATGCATGGCATCTGATAGATGTAAAAAAAAAATGATTAAAGCACAGAATTGTGATTGAACTCAGGCATCAAAGGTTTTTTTCTAAACAGTTTAACCTATGCTTCAGGATAAATTGCAGAGTTGACAAGTTAAGTTAAATCTGAAAATTATGCATAAATATATTGTTAAGAGATTTTACATGCACATCTTAGTCACTTCTGGGATCGAGCAGGCTATTGAGTGGGTAGGCCTCCTTAGAGGAAGTATGTAAATGCTTTAATTAAAATCTTTTTATTGAAAATTGACTCAGACACATACATTCTTTGTGAAAGCTACAAAAAGCTAACTTTATGCTATTTCATAAGTTAAAAGGGTTTTGTGTCACTTGTTTGTTTTTTGGGGGTCGTAGATAGGTTAGTCTAAGGTGCATCCACAAGTACACTGTACTTAATTCCTATGTGGTAGTTAATTAAATAAAAATTCCTATGTAGTGCTTAATTAAGGGTGAATCCACAAGTACACAGTAGTTATTTCCTATTTCTTCATATATCATTCATAAAGTTCAAAACATGGAGTGACTTGCTATGAACAGAAATCAAATCCATACGTTACACTAGCTAAAAAAATGTTTCTGAACAGTTGTTGATACTGACCCTGCTGTTTACTACTCTAGGGGCCATACACAAGTTTACCTAAAAGAGGATCTCAAGAATGTTATCACACCATCCCAGACAACAATCAAATTGTTATTGCATTCTTAGCTTCATTAGCCTATATTTTCATGTTAAATAAAACCATTTAATAAAGAAGTTTTGTTTGCAGTCATCCAGTTTTGTATTTAGTCTAATTAAACTAGGGGTTTCATCAGTCCATCAACAAATTGGTGTTTAAAAATATCAACACTATTTTCAGCTACTTTAGAGGCCATGTTGGATACCATGTCTGTATGTTCTAAGATGTGAAAGGAAGAAGCTTATCCTTATTTCTAATTCCATCAACAAGGTGGTAGATTCCTTTTTGATGAATTGTAGAGATTAATTTAGGGTTAAAGTCTTACAAGCCAGGTACCTCTCACTTCCATCACCTCCAATAGTTCCCTTATCAATGCAGTGAATGGGAATGTTGCCTTTCCCCTTGGGATGAGATTGTGGTCTATCACGGCTGTTACCTCAGGCATTTTGTTAGATAATTTTCCCTAAATGTTCACCGATATCAGTTTATACTCCTTGGTGGAAAGAGAATTTGTGAGATTGAAGTGTCTTGCCTTACAATACAATACAGTCACCCAAGCAGAGCTGACGAAGGCAGACAACTTGATTTGGAATCCAGCACACTACTTACTAGGCCACTGCGCGTTCTATTGTGTACTTGGTCTTATCCAACACCAATTTCATGAAGAACAATGTTTATGCCTTGGAAAAGTTACTGCAGAATGATGAATTGATAAGAGAACATATCAAGAGCAAACGCTAAAAAAAACCAAAAACCAAAAACCGTGAATCACTTCATTAATCTTATTTATTTGAGAGGAAAATTAAAAAGCGATAATTCATGATGATTCATACACCTTTTCTCAGGAAAAAATTAATTTGTGCACCTCCAATAAAACTATATTAAGCTAAGCAAGCTCATTAAAAAAAATAAAAAGCATTCTTAGATTTCGAATTTTGTGGGCAAAGTAAGGCTTTCTATCGAAGAATTACCTTTTCAATTCAATTTTAATTCAGTGTTTGAAAATTATCATTCTGCCTTTGGTATTCTGAGACAAAATAACAGAGCATGCTATTTGCAATTTTTTAAGCAGAAAGCTCATTCAACATTTTCCATCTGTATGGTCTATTTTCTGAGATTGACTTCAACTTTAATGGAAATAATTGAAAACTGAGCTTAAATTGCCGACAAAAATTTGGATAGGGTAAAATGTGGACTGGACCATTGGACCGGCCATGTTTTGGACCATTTTTTGGACCAATTTATGGACCATTTTATTAGGGGAAGCCAAACCATCAGTACTTAAGGAGGAATGCAGTCTATCATTACAGTACTTAGGGAGGGGTGGTAGGCAGATTGTTGTTACTAAGGGAGGTGTGGAGGACGAACTATCAGTACGCAGGGAGGGATTGAAGGTTGTTATATTAGTAAATGTTACTGATTGATGGAGTTTTCACCAGATCATACAAATTATTTTTAGCGGTTTTTTGACTGACTAATATAATGTCAAAAATTTTGTGCTGGGCTGTAGCGTTTTTTTATTTTTATCATGGGAATGTGAAACCATAGTTAGTAGAGGAGACTTAAGGCCATAATTGTAACTGAAAATATCACCAATTACTGCTTTTGATCCTCCGCTATTGAGTCATGCGTTGTGTACATACCACAGCTTATTTACTTGAGCGGTAGTGAAAATAAAGCCTGAAAAAAAATTCAGGCCTGTACAGGATTTGAACCCATTACCTCTGTGATACTGGTGCAGTGCTATGCCAACTGAGCTCTTTTCAGGCTTAATTTATTTTCACTACTGTTCAAGTAGTGTTCATTACTGCAAAGATCGCTTTCATATTCACGTCTTTGTCCGCAGTTCACATATATGATTTCCATATATCCTCAATCATTTATGACAAACTTCAGTAAATCTAGTTGACATGTTCCAGTTTAAAATGAATTTCAAGTCAAATTCATCAAAAACTGGTTTTATTTGTATTGCAATAGATCCACGACTGAAGAAAATAAAAATCAAGCTGGCCATAGTTTAAAATTTATTAACTTGAAATTCATCTAATGTTAATGATTTCAAGCTTATTTCATATACTTAAGCTGCCCCGCTGGCTGGCGGCTTAAATGGTGTTACAGTAACTTCCGGCCGTTTACCCGCGGGTAATCTGTTGATTTTGCATTAAACGCGCGCCACTGCGGGTAATAGGGAGGTGCGGGCTATGTGACAATTTTAAAATCTACTGGTAGTTGAATTGAAAAAAAATTCTCACCTGCATGCGTTTCCACCTCTCAAATGAATTTTACTGTATTAAGAGTGCCACAAAGCGGCACGAAAACATGATGCCCACTCAAGTCTATTTCACGCAAAATTGGTTGCGTGACGAACAAATTGTTATCGGTACGCGTGAAAACAAAACCTTGATGGTGACAAAAATAATCCAAGATATCCCGCGCATCAATAAAAAGATCTCCATTTAACACTAGCTTGAGCTTAAGAGAATTTTCCCGTTTTAAAGGACTTGTTAGACCCAATAGAACCGGAGACATCTTTTTTTTTCAGAAATCGCCGACAGTGCTTTATAATTCAAGTTTTAACACTCACCCAGCTTCTTTCAACAAATCAACATGGCGCTGAACGATCGCTCGCACAAAATGTGGCCACAAATTCGCATTCTGTCAAGTATGAATCGTTGAGATTTGGGCATGGCCGCCAGTGTTTTTACGGTATAATTTCGTCAATAAAGTACTAGCTAATATTGACACAGAATTGTGCACGTGTCTGAATTTCTTTGACCTTTAAACTCGACTAAGAAGCTTTCAAGTTTTCGAAAGTTAGTTCAGACAACTTTTAAAAGACTGAAATGTATCACCTTAATGTCACGTTTTCGCCACCGAAAAAACATAACGTGCGGGTTATCCACCAGTGCGGGTAATCTGTTGACTTTTTTTTTCGCCGTATGCAATAATCGGCCGGTGTGGGTAATCGGCCGTGCAGGTAAACGGCCGGAAATTACGGTACTAGAATAGTCCGCCATATTGCATAAGCCGACGATTTCCGATAATCACCCGACTCGGAAACTCGTTGCTAGTGTTCCTCGGGCGTACCTCTAGCCGGTTCTGACACCGCTTACACGTTTAAAAAGCCCGCCCACGCTCCTTTAAATCGTGACGATGGCGGTTTGCCTGACGCCTATTTACACCTCGTCAGAAAAAAGAGGCCGCTAATTAGTGATCATATAAAAGGACCTCTTGTTGCAGCGTTTAGATCACCCCTGACGACGGCACTAGACAGGAGTGTCGAAACGTTGGGTCTATGAATTGTAACTTCTTCGGTTACATTCATTAAATCTGCAAACCAGATAGCATCAAACTATGTCTGAAGGTCCACCCAGCTATGCTCTGTGTTGCAGAGCACGTGACCTCAAATTCTGGGAAGCGTTCGGACGCGTTCTATTCAGCGGAAATTTTGAACAGGAGATTCTTATCGCGTGGAAAGCGCCCATGCTTTCGCAATTCTGTTCCTGAAATGCCATCTGCACCTCTAAGGTGTCATTAACTACCACTTTCTATGTCTGAAATCGAATACCGTGTGTTGCGCTCCGAAGTTAGCAATGGAATCGACTGGCAGACTGAAGGCAGAACACTACTTTCGCTTTGCAAGGGCCGGCTGATAGCCGAGGGAAGTGAAAACCACATTGGAAATGCTGCTGACTTACTCGAACAGTTAGAGGGTCAGAGTAAATTAGGAATCGATCATCTCGAGGTACTGAAGGAACTCTTGGATGGAATGAAGAAATGTGCTCTGGTCGATAAAATAGAAATCTTCGAGATCAAAAGGAAAAATTACCTTTGTATGTTGGAAAAGGTAATTCGTAAACTCGACGAGTTAAACTGTCTAGAACGACTGATCAGAATTTGCACTCCTTATCTGGAGGAGGGTATAGTGGACAGAATAGAGAATATTCGCTTCCTGTTCAAGAAACTTGAAAGCAATTGCCGTTTAGGACCTGCCAATCTTGGAATTTTGAAAGAGATTTTGAAGGAAATGAGAGAGGATGAACTCTTACGGGAAGTAGAGGAATTTGAAAAGCAACGGAAGGACGAGAAAATTAGAGACAGACGAAGAAAGGAAGCTGAAGAGAGACGTCAAGGTGAGAATCCCTCTTTGATTTCTCTAGGGCTGGCATGTGTTAATTACGAATAAGACCGAGTTCGAATGATTTACATGCAACCAAGTACAGTTTGTTGTAACTGGAGATGCGAGCAACGAACTCCAGTTCGTCTGACTTAAGGGAAAAATTAAGAGAAGTCTATAATTAGCCTAGGGATGTACTTGTTATTCCCAACCTTTAAGAACCGAGAATCTCCTTAAAAACTGTTTGTTGTGAAGTTTTCATTATCCTTTTCAATAAATCCGTCACTTTCGGGCTTTTGAATCGAATTTTGGAAAATATAAAGAAAGTAAACGTAAGGTTTGCAATAAACTCGATTCAAAAGAATGGTCTAGAATTATAGATAATAGTTCAGGCGTTGAGCCTTGGCAATATAAGATCGAAAGTATGTTTCAAGATGCACGGTCCAATTTTACCCTGGCGAGATCGATTAAGAACTACATATAGACGCATAGCTGCGTGAACTCGGGCTTTCAATATCGCACATCTGGAGTTATCCTTAGGGGACTGCCATATTGCCATTGTTACTGTCGTCACGCCATTTCGTCATTGCCGGTCACGAATAAGTCTACTTGTGTTTATTTTTGTCTATTGGAGTGTAATGAATGTTGTTATGGTACTAGACAACAATCAAAACAATATATCACCATATAGGAGTAGGTTCCTACAGATATCAAAGGTTGAAATTTAAGGACTTTTCAATAGCTTTGAAGGCTAAGTTTTGAAGGACCACTTTTGGAAAGGTTTGCATAAGCAATTTTAAAATTATTTAACATTATTTCTCAGCTTTTCCATGAAAGTACTGTAATTTTCAACTTGGAAATTGCTAAAGAAAACACATTGCAAAAATCAAGCCCTAGTCTTCAAATTCAAGTACTTTCAAGGCCTTGAATTTTTATTTTTAAATAAAGGATTTTCAAGGATTTTCAAGGCTTTTACGAACCCTGAATAAATCATGTATTTGCCTATAACTGCAAGGAGAAGGAAATTTTTTATCTATTATTGGTACCAAGTCATAGTTTGTTGCCAAACATTCACCCAAGGGGAGTTGTCAGAAATCAGTAGATTGAAGCAATATTACTGTTCAATAGTTCATATTGTTTTTAATAGAAAAATCTCTGAAACCACTGCAACATTGTATAGCTAGATTGAGTGTTCTTGGTAGAGAATCAATTTTTGGAATTACGTATAACAAAACTGTAACAAAATGTTAGAGATGTTTCAATATTTGGTATCAATGCTGTGTTCTTTTCCTATGTATTGATCGGAAACAGCATCAAATAAGTCTAACCAAGGAATTATTCACAAATTATAACATGAGGTTCAATGTTCTTTAAGTTTCTTGGATGATCTGTTCTTGTTATTATTTTGAATAAAATTTTGCAGGTATTAATTTTAACCCCTCTCAACTCAAATATATCATTGTTATGTATACTCTGAAAATAATGTACTAAGCTATTCAGTGATGATACTTCAAGCAGCACACATGTACCTTGAGGATGGCTTCTACTATAAATACCCTTTGCATGAGAATCTAATATTTTCAAGCCCACCTTACCTTTACAATAGATAGCAACTGCAGTTCAACCTATTGTCAATACAAGATTGTTGAAATTTTCTGATATAAGTGATTGAAAGGCTCTATCTAAGGAGGTACAGTACTGACATCCTTCTATTATAGCTTCTTGATGAATAGCAGCAGTGTAGCTTTCACTGCATTGAGGTTCATAGTCAGTCTCTAACACATTTAAAAGTGTGAGTAATTCTGTCTGCATTAAAAATGATTGTCTGGTTAGCTGAGACAAACTTTAATACAACTGATTTCCAATATTCATTATTGACACGAGATCATTAGCATAATTGTGACCTCTCACGCGAAAACGTTCCTTACGGTATCTGTTCGAACGGTCGAACGCACGGTATGTGAACGGATGACAAACGGATAGAGAAACCGTTTAAAACAGATGCCGTGAACGGCTGAACGGCTTCAGAAAAATTTCGAACGGTTGAAGTCGAACGGCTGAACGGCTAAAGGAAAATTTCGAACGGTTGAAGTCGAACGGCTGAACGGCTAAAGGAAAATTTCGAACGGTTGAACGGCTAAAGGAAAATTTCGAACGGTTGAAGTCGAACGGCTGAACGGCTTCAGAAAAGTTTCGAACGGCTGAACGGCTGAAGGAAAATTTCGACCGGCTGAACGGCTGAAGTTTTCAACGGATAAGGTCAAAGTAAACGGTTGAACGGCCGATCAAAAACATTCGAACGAAATGACAGTAATTAAGATAAACGCGACACGCGCCGCTTAGATCTGAAAACTGATAGAAAACCTAGAATAAATCTAATCCTGTTTTGAAAATAATAAGTCTTTTGAGAGTAAAGCAAATTCGTTTTCGCGGGGGAGAAACAAAAGCCGGTAATAGTCTGCGTTCTCTTTTAAAATAATTGTCATGCAACCATTTCCAGAATTCGTAATGTAACGCCATTAATTGACTTTGTAAACATCTCGTTTCCGAACACAGGCGACGCTTTCCCCACCATGTATCTTCGGAACTAACAGGCACAATTTATAGTGACAATTTTTACGATGTGCCGAGTAATTTTCGCTACCTTGAGTGCAAGCAATTTTTTTAAGTTAACAAAGAAGCGGGTGCCATTATTTTTGTCCGCTGCGTTGATGTGAGTGTGTACAATAAAAGCGAATCAGCGAGGCATGCGAGGCAGACGTGCGAGGCATGAACAAAACATAGTCTTGGACTATAATAATTATATCGCATTTGAAGTTACCGGTAAGTGAAATTATAAGAATCAATGCGCTGCTTATGACGGCTCAATTACAGTGTGAAAAAGTTCGCTCGATTCGAAACTCTCTGCCGTTTGACGCATTCATGGGGTATTAACTCACTGAATTCAGTCTGTGCGGCGTGGCGCGGCACGGTAAAGCAACTCGCATGCGAAGTTTTTAAATCTTGCGATGCAATGCAATGCAATGCAAAAGAGAAACTCAACGTAAAATAGATTACAAGTTTCTTATCGATTCTAGAACAAAGCCGCAAATTTTTCACTTTGCATAATCACTGTTAATTTTCGGCTCAGTGATTCTCATGGAAAATGCGTTGCCCTGGTAACTGCCAGATAACTTGGCTTTTATCACAATCGCAAAATGGAGGAATCAACAAGAGTCGAGATGGATTGTAATCAAACGGAAAAAAAGGAAAGTATCATCGCCAACGTGCAAAAATTCATGCAAGATGGGTGCGGATGTCGTCGAGGATTGAAAAGTAGTCAGTGTTCTGATCAACTTACAGAGGAAACCGTTCTAGATAATCTATACAACTGCCTGGAACTGTCTCACGTGGAGCTGGACTTGGTTGTCTTAGCAAACATTCAAGCTTTTACGGCGATTGAAGCAATCCGGGAAAAAAGAAAAAGAAGTCCACCTTACAGCTTCCTTTATCGGTCTCAGCCCATCTGCAAGGAGATGTTTCTGAACCTCTATGGCATCGGCAAAAAACACAACCTTTTTGAAACGTATAGCTCAAGCCGTTCGAACGGCTCCCAATTTTTTTTGAACGGATAGCTCAAGCCGTTCGAACGGCTCCCAATTTTTTTGGAACGGATAGCTCCAGCCGTTCGAACGGCTCCCAATTTTTTTTGAACGGATAGCTCAAGCCGTTCGAACGGCTCCCAATCTATTTGGAACGGATAGCTCCAGCCGTTCGAACGGCTCCTAATTGTTTTTGAACGGATAGCTCAAGCCGTTCGAACGGCATCCCATCTCGTTCGAACGGCTGATGAACGGCTTACGAACGGCTATCCGTTTCAAAACGGCAAACCGTAAGGAACGTTTTCGCGTGAGAGGTCACAATTGTTCCTTGTTTGATATTGTACATCAAAGAGCTTAAACTCATTGCAACACATTGTTGTCCTGAATTTTGTCCAAATACCAACTCATTAGCTTAGCTATATGGTGCTGTTATTGTTTTGTTAGGGTCAATGTACATTGGAGTAAGACCAGGGTTTTTCTCTATATCTGAACTCAGTTGAAATTTACAATAGTTTGATACGTGTGTCTGACTCTTACAAAGACACATGGGTCTATTACAAGAAAACATTGATAAATACAGACTTGCTCTAAACTTCAATTTAATTATCCTTTGATATACCCTTACAGAAAAATTCAACAAATACTTCTTCTCGTGTTGTGTAACTTTATTTAATCTTACCCTCTTTGTATTAAGCTTACAAACATTCTTTGTAACTCTTCTAACCTTCACACAACGACATAGCCAAGAGGACTTCGGTATGCTTGCTCATAAACAAATTCCTTCAGTTTTCTGCTCTTTCTTCTGAGAGGTTCCAGAGTAGCTTCTGGTATTCTACTGGGTTCTCAATCACATCTAAATACACGATTGTGTTTACATGTAAACATAATATGAGATAGCTCGTTTGATATAGCAGGTTTCACTTGATATTTCTCAATGGAAGGTTCACTCATAAAGGATCACTAGTAAATTGATCTCTCGTAAAGTTCACGGACCAACCCATTCCAAAAACACTCCACAAGTTTTAGTGTGGGTCTACCGTGAACTGTGTGTTACTTTTTATGTATATTGAGCGTAATAGCCATTGAATTTCTTTCATGTACATCAAGCAAAGAATTGTCCACAAAGGCAGCCATTGCTTTAAACCATGCACTCTAGGGTTCATTCTATGCATGCGCTTACACTTCACGCATGCACTGTAGTGGAACTGCATTTTGTGACTGAACGCACAAAAAAAAGACGAAGTTGAATTTATACCTTGGGTGTTTCCTTTGGAAAGCCCAAGTAATGAGCCTGCTCACTAGTCTTCGCTGAAGTGTAATGTGGCTATGTCTCCACGAATGGAGCATATAAATATGGTTGTAATGACGACGTGACAGTACAATTAATTTATATTATGGTAGTACTTGGGTCATAAAAATCAAATCAGGTCTACTGCTTGATACTGCCTGTTCTACTAGGTCTTTGGTGAAAAAATGAGACTGCAGGCTTATGTTGTTCACTTGTTGTATGGATGTAAGCTTTGTTCAGATCACAATCTTTTGTTGTCTTGAGGCATGATGTGACCAGTTTCCTGAAGAACCAAGCAATTTTTCCTGGAATGCCCAGAAGAGGTTATTTTGCCCTAGCTACCTCCTCTGTTGTTTTCAATGACTGCATTATTTTTTGTCCATATTAATTTCCTCAGTAATAAGGCTTGGCAACTTTATTGGACCCTAGCTCTTGTTCAAATTTATGGCTTACCCTATCTATGAATGAAAGAATCTAAATTTAAATTTCAGCTCGTGTTGCAGCTGTTTACGCTGTACCCAGTGTGGTTGGAAGAATTATGGGAGGTAAGTGGCAATTAAAGTAAATAAAGACCCTCTTAATATAGCACGATTTGTGCTCCACAGCTAGTTGCTGTTTGGTAAATGAACCCCCTCGCCATTGACAGGGAGGGACTGATATACAAATATATACATACAAATATACATATATAAATAAATAAACAAATCTTGATTATAGTCTATCCTTGTGGTATAGTGCTTAATGTGTTTGTGGAGCATCTGATGATTGCATACGTGTGAAACTCAGAGTCACAGAAAAGTTGTCTTATTGATTTGTCCAACTTTCAGAGATATATATATATATATATCTTTAGACAGATGAATCTGTCTGATGATCGAGTAAGTGTGAAACTCAGAGTCACAAAAAAGTCTAATTGATTGGTTCTACCTTCAGATATATCATTCTCTGCGAATGCATCCAGCACTATACCGTAAAGATAGACTATAATCAGGATTTTTATATATATATATATATATATATATATATATATATGTATATATATATATATAGTTCAAAATGACTAAAATGAAACACGCATGATTCCCTGTTACTCTGAGTTTTTCAAAAACTCAGAGTAACAGGGAATCATGCGTATTTCATTTTAGTCATTTTAACTGTATTTCACTCTACACTCATGTGTAAATGTGGGGGTAGAGTCTACCTTGGCGTAAAGTGCTAAATGCTGGGGTAGCAGAGATGAGTATATATAAGTGAAAGAATCAAAGAGGACGCATAGATTCTCTGTTATTCTGAGTTTCACACCTAGGTGCTCATCAGTTCTGTCTGATGAGCGCTTAGCCAACTGGCTGAGGTGTGACAGGGTTTAGGCCTGGTTACCAATCCTGCAATGCAGGCTTTAAACCTCAATAAATAGGACAAGCCCCTTCCAGCCTGCAATGCACCCAACCACAGGATAATGTAAAAAATAACTATGTGATTATCGAAAAAGCATAAACCATCTCTAATTCAGTTTGCAGAAAAGTTCAGCTGTTTATCAACTTCATTTGTTATCTCTTGAACAGCTGTAAATGTTCACTGTAGTTTTCAGACTGTGGGTGGAGTGGTGGTGGCAGTTGGTGCTTGTGTGGTCCTGTATAAATACTCCAGAGGCGATAACGATATCCAACAATTTGCAAATGTCTTTAACGAAGCAATCCTTCCAGCAGCCAACAGCTTGAGGGCAATAGGGAATGGGTCCTTATGCTTTACAGTCCAGGCAGAAGATAGAGCAGCCCTCCAGTTGCTATGGGAACAATACCAGGACAACACACTACAGACAAAGCTGCAAGACTTTCTGGTGACAGAAGAAATAAAGCAACTGGCAGATGGTGAAGACATGAGTGTGACTGTATACATTGATGAGCAGGAATATCAAGATGCTTGTTTGGATTTTATGATGGAGTTGCAAGGTAAATAATTTAATAATAGGATTGTTGTTTCATTGGTCTCTCATACAGTGATTTGCAGTGTTTAATGAAGATATGAAGGTTCTTCTTAAAACACTAAAAGGCCAGATACAACCAGGGACTATCCTCCTCAAGCAAGGGGCTTTTATAGCTTAGTTCCACTTTCTTAAAAAGACAAGGGAGTCTACTTCATTAACGTCAACTGCATTACATGAACAACAATAATTAAAAGCACCTCACACACTATGGAAAGTACTTATGACAGGAGTGTAAAGTCTTCCATCCCCAAAGTATTTGGAAAAACTGCAGGGTTGTAAATAAGGTGCTAAGTTGTTGTGATTTTGTCAAAGAAATTGACCATAATTGGAGCCAGTAATATCTGGTGACAAAAATCCAAGAGTTTCTGATTGCTTATTTTGTGTTTGTTTGTCCATTTGTTTGTTTTTCAATTTGATTTCCAGTCTTTAGTGACGAGGAGTATGGTCATCACAGAGACACAAATAGAAGGAACTCAGATTCTGTCATCTATATTAAACCAAAGGAAAATGAGGCGGCAGCTGTACTGTCTTCGCTGAAAACAGCAGAAATTAAATTTCAGCGAGAGAAAATTGAAACCCTGGAAAATCAAATCATCAGGATTTCAAAGGTATACAGTGAAGAGGAAGAAAGAGATCTAGAAATTCAACAGCTTGGACATATCGCCGATCAGCCAGATGATGGTAGGAAATAGCACAATTCATTTTCTATGATAATTGATAATTATTAAATTTGTCGTGTTGCTTAAAATTTTTCCACACTTACTACCTGCCTACTACAGGAGACTAATTAATATCATATCTTTCTTAGAATCAAGGGGTAAGTTTCTAAAGAAACTGTGATGCTGCGTCGGTGGGAGAGTATAGCAGGTAATTTAGTGTAAACAACTGGGTTGAAAACGTAAATTAGCCACCGTAAAGGGTAAAAAAGCTGACGTTTCGAGCGTTAGCCCTTCGTCAAGCTCTGACGAAGGGCTAACGCTCAAAACGTCAGCTTTTTTAGCCTTTACGGTGGCTAATTTACGTTTTCAACCCAGTTGTTTACACTAAATTACTTTCTTAGAATCAGCCTGACAAAGCTTAGTAAATAAAGAAAACCTAAACAAGTCATTTATTAAGAATTTTCTCCATGAAAAATTTAAGATCAAATATAGAGTTAAAAAAAAGTCATGCACAGCAATCTTAAACCCTGTTAAACAAGCAAACATTTTTTGATTCAATATCGCGTGAACGATGAAGCCATTCATAAGATATCAGTTTCATGTGCAATTTAATGTGTAATTCCCTTGTCAGGTAACAAATTTTCCTATGGAATACAAGGGTTACATAATGAATATGGAGGTGTTTAACCCTTGACACCCTAACATCAGTCTCCATATTCTCCATACTATTTTTTGTATGTTTCTTGTGGTACTGAAAACGAGAATTCATTTGAAGATCAATGCTTCTTAGGTTGGTGATCATTTCCTTTATTCTCATGAGCTTAGTGAATGATTCAGCAGTTATATTACTGTAAGGAGAAGTGAGATGCTCAGGTCACTTGCAGAGTTTAAAGAGTTAAGGTAGATAGTGAAGTTACAACAAATGGCTCAGAAGAAAAAAGTCTCCGAGGTCTAGGTTTTAAAGCACAGTCAGTAAGTTGATAGTCAGGTTGCTAATTATTTTGCTCAGTTACAAATTGCGATTAGTACGCACTTTGATGGACCAAATGTTGAAGGTTAATAATACTTGCGCTGGCTTTCACTTTGACATTAAATAGCCTTACTAAATTATTAAGGAAGAATTTGTTCCCTTCTAATGCCATCGAGAATGTTGTAAGAAAATTTCTTAACAATACTTCACCTCCGACTATTCTCAGAGTGCTGCTCATAGGGAAAATTGTTTGTATTTTAAATTACCATACACCGGTCCTTTTTCCATCACAGGGCAATGCAAAGTGAAACATCTTAATTTATTCCTTTCATACTAATTAGTCTCCCTTCTTAGCTTCAACAGTTTCACTTTTTTTTAATTGTTCTTGTTAACATCTCACTTTATTCTACTATTTATTGCATGATTTCATTTTATTTCTCATTATACAACTGATGATGGATGATGTTTCATCCTAAACATGTTTTGTTTTCATTAAAAAATATAAGAAAAATGAACTTCAAAAGCAATGTGTGGTTCATCAAAGTGATAAAATGATAACAGTAATGATAAAGAAGATGAGATTAATAGTTATGATGATGCTAATGAGGTGGGTGACAACAGTAATAATAATAATAAGAATTAAGCCTTACTCAATTTGAAGCAAATTTCCAATGTGGTTCATCAAAGCAATATCTTACTCTGTGCTTCTACAAAGCCTTATTATCTTTTGTATAATAACTATTTGTCTATTGGTAATATTGCTTCTGGTTTTTATGATTGCAACATTTGGATCTGATTGACTCATTAACTATCTAAATTATCAGGGAGTCTCACAGACACAGAATAAGACTCTGGGTCTTCCATATGGGTCATCAAACTTTCAAGATAAAAGATGATTTGGGTCAGTTCCTCACAGAAACATAACATTTGAATTCCAGATTTTCCATAGCCAATGTTATTATGGTTATCTTAGGATTCTTATCTTAATTTTCTTGATTGTGCTGATATTGTTTTAAAGTAGGTATCACACTTTCCTCTCAACAACAGCCGCAACAGCAACTGAGTCTGATTGGTTGAGCTTTCAACCAAAAAAAAAGACTCATGAACCCACTGAGTGGGGTTTGTCCTGAGAGGGGCAAGGGCTGCAGACATCATCTTAGGTCTTCAGGGGATGGGTCAAGTCTGGCAAAAAGTAAAGGTGGCAGCTGGCACTAAAGGAAAAATCTGCAGATTTTAAACCTCTAGATCTTGGCAGCCCAGTTTATACACCAATTAACTACAACCACAGACTTTGACACCCATTTTTTGTTTGCAGCCAAATCTGATGTTTATAGGAATGAGGGTAATGAGGCCTTCAAGAAAGGAGATTTCATCAATGCTATTCATTTTTACACCAAAGGAATTAAAATGAACTGCAATGACAAAGAACTGAAGGCCAAACTGCACAACAACAGGGCAATTGCACATTCTAAACTTGGTAAGATGATGAGAGCTTTAATATGCATTTTTTTTTCTATTTTGAAGCTATTGAGTTGTCTGTAGTAGTTTTCTGAAAAAGGTGATGATTTTGAATGCATGCCCGGAAAAATTTGCATCTTATCTTGGCCTCTCAAATATACAAAGAAGTAACCTCTTACCCCAGATATCAATGAGCATCACAAGTTTTTCCCAAAATTCTAGTAATGGTAGTTGGTTTGCAACATGTATGGCTAATCAGAGATATTTATTTCAATAACAGGAAATCACCAGGATTCACTAAGGGATGCAGAAGCAGCCATTGAGTTAAATCCAACTTTCCTTAAGGCAATTGTGAGAGGTTAGATATGTTAGCTGTACTATAATAATAATAATAATAATAATAATAAAAAGAACTCAACACTCTAAGGTTAAATGAGGTTAAATGGAGTTCAATCTTGTCTCAATTGACTTTAATTAAGAGGTCGAGACCACCCTGATGAACATTTGAATCCAGCTCTTGACTGTTACGCCATTACTTTCCATTAATCATGATGAGAATATTATTTTGAACGGGATGAAGAACTCAATGCAGAATGCAAAGCAAAATTTCAGCATGAATATTTTAGTTCCTTAAGTTCAATGAGTCACAGGTGTCAGATATGTTAAGAGCGTGTCCACGAGAGCACCGGGCAGTCGTGCTACATGCCATCTCACCGATTTCAATGAAACTTTACCAGTTTAAAGGGTCTACCCCAAAACTCAAAAAAACAGACTGGTTTCTGTTTTGGTTTTTTCCGGGGAGAGATAGACCACCCCCCGGTTTTTCTTGGTTTTCACCAAGGAAATCGCTTCAAATAGGTAAAATGTATGAAGCTCTCACTGCGATGGTATTTAACCGATTACTTTGAAGATTTGCACACATATTTTTACATCCTTGGTTAATGTCTGTTGCGAGTATCAGTCAGTTTGATCGACGGCTTGTCAATGAACAGAGGCAAATATACGAATGTGTTTTTAGACTTTTCGATTCATCCAAATATTTGACAACTTGCGTAAACAATATTTAACATAACAACATAATGTTATGCTGTTACCAATGCGACTTCGTAATCGGAATATAAAAATGATTGATCGTTTTCCAACGGAATTCATTTATCGAAATAGTTATTTCTCACTTCGTATATTGAAACATCAGTCGCAACGGCTTGTGAATTTGTTCAAAATAAATTTAGTCTCAGTGTATCGTAGTTCGGTACAATCTGCTAAGGCGCCCGTTTGTAACAAGTTGTTTTGTGAACATGTTTTTCACGAAAACTGGTTCCTTCATCTCGCCATTTATTCACAGACTAACAAGTTCTACTCGCTTATTTTAATGGTGTTATGTTACAGCATATTTACCTGTCACGACTACGTCTTGCTCTGACTCGTATGCAAATTTTTAAGTGAAACCGGATTTGCTTTTTGTTTCGATATTTGTCAAATCATCGATCGATGTTCACCAAATTGCTCGAAAAATGGGAACGGAAAAATTTACAGCAAGATACATTAAGTTTAAGTTTACTTAAGACTCGCCGGCGCATGCAATTAGGCAAAACATCAATACCATGGGTTGATGACAGATTTTAGAGTCTGTTTTGAAAGATCTTAACATTATTGAGAGACGCTTGCACAGTATGATACTGAACGGTAGTCTGTTGAAGTGTTTTCGGTTTTTAGATGAATTTTCGTCTTTTTCACTGCGATTAATACTATATAACTTGACCTTTCATCGTTGTAATATGATGCGCTCCGCAATCAAACAAATCATCACGAGCGATGCGTAATAAAAAGTGTGTACATTCCAGTTCGTAAACACAGAAGCGGGCGCTGATTGCAATGAATAAAACCGAACATCATTTACAATCTTAAACAGTATATTTTCCTTCTGATCCTTATCGAAGGTAATCGAGGTAGGTTCGAAGTTTCGAAGAATTCATCACCTGCGATGCAAACACCAAATTGTTTACATTCCGCGACGTAAACATCTTAGAGAGCGCTGATTGCAATGATAAATTGGGAAGCATGTTAATGAGTATTTGTTTCGTTACTCGCTCGATGAAACTCGTGTTTCGATGTCTTGAGTAAGTGACATTTTCCTTCCCAGCTGATTCATCAACAACTCATATCGAGCAAATCTACTGCTACTAATACTGCTCGTTAAATTCGCGAAGCGACGTGACATACGTGAGTGTAACATGTTAGCACTTCTATTATGTAAATTTTCCGTTGTCTACTCACCACTTTTTCAAACCTAAAAGTTCTCTGTTTCACACAACAATGTAATACAAAGGAAACTTGCAGCACTGAATAACAGACGCACACGAGTCGCGCATTTTCACATTTTCTTTATCATAATTCTTATCATTTATATAATAACTGTGTGGCAGCAGCGAATATCGAGGAATACAGGACGTGTCGCGAATCGGTGAGGGGCGTAGTTTACGGAGAACCAAAGAACCAAACTTGAAGACGGTGATAAACGAATTTATTGTTTCGACGAGGACGGTTCGATAATGCTCGTAAACTGAAGACAACGATTACAAAATACAACTAAATATAAAGGTAAATAAACTAAAAACAAAAGGGTCACGAAGCAAAACTACTCTAAAGATATCTGGGGGCGGAACCCAATTCGCATAACAACAATTCTTCATTGAAATAATCATACTCCACGCATGAGAAGTAACAAGACTAAAATGAAATATGAGAGGACTTAACGAACCGAAACAAGCTTGAAAACAATACAACTGATACTTTGAAATAGATAAGACTATATACTTGTAACGCTTCGAACGGACTACTTATCAACGTATGCACGAGGGAAATAATAACAAAAGGCTTGAATTAGAAATGGATCGTGTAATCACTAAATTAATCAATTGTAACTACATTAGAATAAAAAAGAAACAAAACACTCACACATCTGACCCACACAGTGAAAATACTAAAAGGAAAGGCGTCAGTCAACTTGAACTTGATGGCGAACTTAAAGCACTTCTTACTCTTAAATGAACTTATTACTTCTAATTGAACATTGGCCGAGGCCGCGTGAACTTAAACTTGGGCAATACCATAATGCTTAGCGAAAATAAACTAGACCCTGTGAGCAGGGTAACTGGGATACCTGGATGGTACTGGATCCTTGGAATCAAGTGGAGTGATACTACGGGTGTCGGACTAGTACACTGAAATAGTGCGCTCAAGTCTGGCCAAGGGCATACACCTATTTCAAAACATAGGCATGCTATGCATGCAAGAGTTACTTTTTTGTAGGGTGGGTGGATTACTTGAAACATTGTGAGTGATGTCTACATTCTTACAAAAGGAGAGAAGAATATTATTGTGGGAAAGAACGAAAATGTCGAATTACCTCACTCACAGGTATTTTGTGGTAGATTATGTGTGTTGTGCGAATAAATGTAACCAAAAATAAACTGTATTGGTGCCACGGATACCTGTTAGTTCAAAATGCAGACAGCAGACTGCAGACCGGATACAAAATATAGACTGCAGACTGCAGAGTGGGTACAAAATGCAGACTAAGAATCTGAAGAGCTTTTACGTCTGTTATATAATAACATGTCATCTTACAGCTTACCGAGCGTCACGCAATCGCTTTTCTGCAATCCGCCTTCACGATTGTTTGCACTATTGTGGAATATTCCTGGCCCATTTCTTGATGAAAATCGACCGCAATATTATTTCAAGCCTTCAATATAGTCTTCTTACTTTGCGCGCGAGTTGGTTGGTGTGATGTCTGTACAGATTTTACCTACGTAATGAAAGTAGATGACGTGAATAACAGTGATGGTAAAGCAAGCTTAAAACGGCAGAAATCGCCAGAAAATACCACGGATACACAGGGTATGAGTAAGGTTTATTAATTGACATGACCTCTGCGATACCGGTGCAGCGCTCTACCAATTGAGCTAACAAGCCAACTGGGAGCTGGTCAATGAATTGGGTACAAATAAACATCCGAGTGAAAGATCGAAAGATTTCAAATCCCGTACGGGCCTGAAATTTTTTTCAGGTCCTACTTACAACTACTAGTTTCAGTAGTGTTCTTAGCTGCGAGGATCTTCTAATTTCATCTTTCCACCGCAGTGCAAATATGTGAATTTTCATATATCTAAATCTTCATTCACTCGGATGTTTATTTGTACCCAATTCATTGACCAGCTCCCAGTTGGCTTGTTAGCTCAATTGGTAGAGCGCTGCACCGGTATCGCAGAGGTCATGGGTTCAAATCCCGTACGGGCCTGAAATTTTTTTCAGGTCCTACTTACAACTACTAGTTTCAGTAGTGTTCTTAGCTGCGAGGATCTTCTAATTTCATCTTTCCACCGCAGTGCAAATATGTGAATTTTCATATATCTAAATCTTCATTCACTCGGATGTTTATTTGTACCCAATTCATTGACCAGCTCCCAGTTGGCTTGTTAGCTCAATTGGTAGAGCGCTGCACCGGTATCGCAGAGGTCATGGGTTCAAATCCCGTACGGGCCTGAAATTTTTTTCAGGTCCTACTTACAACTACTAGTTTCAGTAGTGTTCTTAGCTGCGAGGATCTTCTAATTTCATCTTTCCACCGCAGTGCAAATATGTGAATTTTCATATATCTAAATCTTCATTCACTCGGATGTTTATTTGTACCCAATTCATTGACCAGCTCCCAGTTGGCTTGTTAGCTCAATTGGTAGAGCGCTGCACCGGTATCGCAGAGGTCATGGGTTCAAATCCCGTACGGGCCTGAAATTTTTTTCAGGTCCTACTTACAACTACTAGTTTCAGTAGTGTTCTTAGCTGCGAGGATCTTCTAATTTCATCTTACAAAAATGTTTTGTAAGAATAAAAACAGCAAAACAAATTACAGGAATTAGTCACGAAAACAGAGCAAAAAACTGAAAAAAAAACAGCAACAACAATCATGAAAAAGGAAAGATTAATTAGGTGTTGAATTTGTTTGTCTAAGGCATGAAATTTCTACTAAAAATATTGTCAACAAAAAGTCTCTGACCGTGTTTGAGGCAACTGAGCTTGACTGTTCCAAGGTTTTCTAACAAAGGCAATGTAATGTAGGTTAGGGAAGTAACTTATGTTCTTTAAGTGTAGATAACAATGTAATTATTGTTAATTATTGTGGAAGTTGTGTACCATGGAACAGCTAATGAATGTTTGATGATTTTGGCACATCAGTGAACATGAGACATTAATTTGCATCACAATAAAAATATTTTTTGATCATGGAATCCAAGAGTCCTTTGAGGTTAGAAAGCAAATCTGTGATATGGGTACATTAGATGAATTGGCAATTTCCATTTAACATAACTGACCTCTGGTTCATGAGAAAATCCATATTAATGTAAAGATTTACTGAAACTTAGTTTACATGTATGTATATCTCTTGGTAAGTTTTGTATAGCATACCTTTTATTGAGCCAAAGTTTTAAGCCTCTGAAATTACTCCTTTTCTTAAAACCTTCACATTCAAGGTATTGATAATTTCTTACAATTTATGTGGACCTCAGGGTATTTGAATTGCCTCGATCAAATTCAATTCCCAGAAATTCCCATGAGTTCCACACTTCTTAAATTATAGGTAGTTTGTATAGCTGAGAATTCCTAGGAGTTCCTAGGAATTCCAAGTCCTCACAAAACTGGAGTCTTCCTTTCCCAGAAATTCCCAGTAATTCCAAGCTTTTTAAATCAGAGTTAATTTGCATAGTTGGGAATTTTTGAGAATTCCTAGGAATTCCCAGAAAACTGAGAATTCAGTTCGCAAGGGTGGTGTCAGATATGCTTAGTCGCCATCTAGGTGTTTTAAAAGGAAGTAAGCACTTAACTTAAAACTGTAAGAAAACTTTCCTCGTTTGTCAAGTATGACTCAACTTCAAGTGCTATATATCCTTGGTCAATTATCAACTGATTGAGCAAATCAAATTTGTCAAGTCAAATGAAAGGGAAACTAGTATCAATATCAAAGTTAACATTTTCAGAACTTGGTTAAACTTTAATTTAAATTAACATACAAACTAAAACTTCTTACTTTTTATTTTGATTGAAACCTAGTTCTAAAAAGATTAACTAAAAAATGCACCATTAGAAAAATTTTTAAAAAACTGGGTTTTGTTTTTCCGCTCTCGCATTGCATGTCCTAAATAATAATTCTATCGCTATCTCTTGGTGATTTTGTGGGAATTGTCAGCCCAATTTAGATCTTCCTAGAAGTTTCAATTATCATAAGCAAATCTAACTGAAACCTAGTTGGTCCTGTTTATTCTTTTCCATTTTGTTTGTTTTGTTTTGTTTTGTTTTTTTTACTGGTCTGTAACGATTTTGCTTTCAATGGTTTCTAGTTCTTTTCTTGGAATTGAGTTACATGAGTACTTATACGCTTCTTTGTGTTGTTGCCTACAGGAGCCACTGCCTGTGTTGAAATGAAGAGATTTGAAGAAGCAATCACTTGGTGTGATAAGGGATTAGCTGTATCCTTTGAAGGAATCTTTAATTTGTAACCATGGGTATAATGAAAGTATTCCATAATTTGACATTTTGAGGGAGAAAATAGAAAGATGGGTATTAATTATGATGGGAACTTGTCAACTCATACTTTAAGTGTGTGTGATTAAAAAACGTGGGAAAAGTTAATACCCTATGACTTAATAGTGATATACTTCTCTTAGCCATAACTTAGTCATACTATCCATACCACAACTGGTACATAAGTTTAGTTAAAAGACTAATATTCACCCAGTGTAGATTGGGTGTTGACGGACTTCAGAACTGACTTTAAGACTGAATGTTGGTTAAATGAATGTTTACGCACATCCTCCTAAAGGGCCATTTTACAGTTGACTGTACTTTGTTGTTAAGCCTTTGATTTCAAGAGGAGTGAGGCTGAAGGTGACCTTGTTGTGATAGAGACCAGTAAGTGAGCATAATAACAAAGTCAATATGCATTTGAAAAGCAGCAATGTTTGTGTAAGTAATTACACAATTTTGAGTGCAATTTGGAATAAAATAGGCCCTAGTAAATTTTTTCAAGGACTAGCAAAATTGTTGTCTTTACAAATCTACATATTCCAAATTGCATGAAAAAAATCATATGATTATGCATATTAATAATATACATGTAGAAAATAAGAGATAGCTTATCATGATTATGTACAAGAAAAGCGCACATCAAGTGCAAATCAATTTATTCAAAACAACCGCGTACGATCAAATCAATAGTATACAATGACATTTTCTCATCTATAAGGTGCAAAAAAAAGTTCAAAGTCCGGCTTAACAGTTCAAGGAATTGTTTAGTCTGGTTTGTTTCTTCTTGGCACTGAATTAACCCTCTTCTGCATTGAATTACCTGAAAACTGCATTTATCTTAACCAATTAGAACTGAATAATTTTTTCAATTGTATCTTATTAGTATCATAACAAGGTCACCCTGGCTTAGCCACACTCTTGTTCAAAGGCTTGGAGACCGAGCACACAACTATAAAAATGGACCATTATATATACCAATGTCATCTGAATAATAATCTCTTTTGTCTTTTCAACATTTTTAAACCTTTACATAAAAAAAGATTGACGAAAACAATAGGATCTTGTTGCCATTAAGACTTCAGTCTGTCAGAGAAGTGGGAGATAAGTCCATCGATGAAAAAGATCATATTAGCTATGACCATGGTAATGCAAGTTCAGGATATGTCAAGAAAGTCATAAAGAACTACAACCTAAATCTTAAAATAGCTAAAGAAGTTGGAGACAAGCATGAAGAGAGTAAAGCTTATAGCGTTCTTGGTAATGCTTACCACTGTCTTAGTGATTTCAAACAAGCCATAGCGTACCACGATTTACATCTTCAACTAGCTAAAGAAGTAGGAGACAAGCATGGGGAGGGTGAAGCTTATGGCAATCTTGGCGATGTTTATAACAGTCTAAGAGATTTCAAAAAAGCCATTGAGTACCACCACTTACATCTTAAAATAGCTAAAGAGGTAGGAGACAAGCATGGGGAGGGTAAAGCTTCTTGCAATCTTGGCAATTTTTATAACAGTCTAAGAGATTTCAAAAAAGCCATTGAGTACCACAACCAACATCTTAAAATAGCTAAAGAAGTAAGAGACAAGCATGGGGAGGGTGAAGCTTATGGCAATCTTGGCAATGTTTATGACAATCTAAGAGATTCCAAAAAGGCCATTGAGTATCACAACCTACATCTTAAAATAGCTAAAGAAGTAGGAGACAAGCGTGGGGAGGGTAAAGCTTATGGCAATCTTGGCAATGTTTATGACCGTCTGGGTGATTTCAAAAAAGCCATAGAGTACCACAACCTACATCTTAAAATAGCTAAAGAAGGAGGAAACAAGCATGGGGAGGGTAAAGCTTATGACAATCTTGGCAATACCTATCACAGTCTGGGCGATTTCAAAAAAGCCATAGAATACCACAACCTACATCTTAAAATAGCTAAAGAAGGAAGAGACAAGCATGGGGAGGGTGTTGCTTATAGCAATCTTGGCAATGCTTATCACAGTCTGGGTGATTTCAAAAAAGCCATAGAGTACCACAACCTACATCTTAAAATAGCTAAAGAAGTAGGAGACAAGCATGGGGAGGGTAATGCTTATAACGGTCTTGGCAATGCTTATCGCCGTCTGGGTGATTTCAAAAAAGCCATAGAGTACTACAACCTACATCTTAAAATAGCTAAAGAAGTAGGAGACAAGCATGGGGAGGGTAAAACTTATGGCAATCTTGGCAATGCTTATCACGGTCTGCGTGATTACAAAAAAGCCATAGAATGTTACAAGCTAGAACATAAAATAGCTAAAGAAGTAGGAGACAAGCATCAGGAGGGTATTGCTTATAGTAATTTTGGCAATGCTTATTTCAGTTTGGGTGATTTTAAAAAAGCGATAGAGTATTTCAACCTACATCTTCAAATACTCAAAGAAGTAGGAGACAAGCATAGGGAGTGTGCTGCTTATAATAATCTTGGCAATTCGTATCGAGCTCTGGGAGATTTGATAAAGGCCAACGAGTTATACAACCTAACGCTCAAAATTGCCAGAGAGTTGGAAGACAAATCCACAGAGGCAACTGCGTACTATTCATTAGGATGTGTTTTGGAGCTGCAGGGTAGACTGCCAAAAGCCGTTGAACATTACCAAGCTAGCATAAACTTATACAATTCCTTAAGAGTACTTCTAAAATCTAAAGATGAGTGGAAAGTTAATTTTCGAAATCAGTATCAAACGGCATATACGGCTTTGTGGAGGGTTCTCGTAAAACAAGGTAATATAAATGAAGCCTTACTTGCTGCTGAGAAAGGACGAGCTCAAGCTCTGATCGACCTCATGGAATCCAGTTTTTGTTGTGGAACAAGTCAGCAAAAGACAGGCGATGAAGATTTAGCAATTTTAAAGAACGTTCCCTCGGACACTCTCTTTCAGGCAGTGGACGAAGCCAACGAAGCCGTCAATCTTTGGGTTGTGTCCGAAGGAAAAAAAGTTCAGTTAAGACAAAGTAAACTGAAAGGTCTTGTTTCAGAGAATAGTGGAGCTAGCCAGTCCTTTGAGTCGTTCATGCTCGGTGTCTATACACAACTTGGTGTTCGTTCTAATGTGAGATGCGAGAATCGATCTTTGGATGCTTTGAGGGAGAGCCGTTCAAAAGTGGATGAGAAAACTAAAGAAGACAACCCTCAACCTCCCATCCAACAAAACGAATGCTTGAGCACTTTGTATGATACCGTTATGAAGCCGGTGGCTGACCTGCTTCAAGGGGATGAGCTACTCATTATTCCCGATGGACCCCTGTGGCTCGCTCCTTATGCTGCATTCAAGGATGGTAACTCTAAATACCTGTGTGAATCGTTCAGAATTCGACTCGCTCCATCGTTAACAAGTCTTCAACTTATTGCCGATTGCCCAGATGATTGTCACAAAAGTAGTGGTGCGTTACTTGTAGGAGATCCGTGGGTAGCCGAGGTTACTAACAACGAGGGAGAGAAGCTCCTCGAGCAGCTTCCATCTGCTAAAGAAGAAGTAGAAATGATCGGAAAAATTCTGAACATCATGCCAATCACTGGCAGACAGGCCACAAAACGTGAGGTGTCGAAAAGACTCAATTCCGTTTCCGTAGTTCACTTTGCGGCACACGGATGTATGGAAACTGGCGAAATTGCTCTTACACCTGACCCAGACCGAATATCTACTGTGCCAACGGAGGAGGATTACATTTTAAAAATTGGAGACGTGTTGAACGTTCAACTTCGCGCCAAACTAGTTGTACTTAGTTGCTGCCATAGTGGTCGGGGCGAGATCAAGGCTGAAGGTGTGGTTGGCATTGCGCGCGCTTTTATGGGGGCTGGTGCTCGGTCTGTTGTGGTGTCCCTGTGGGCGATTGATGACGAGGCTACTCTTGAGTTCATGAAATGCTTTTATCAACACCTTTTAAAAGGTAAACCTGCAAGCGAGTCACTGAACCTGGCTATGAAAAGTCTCAGAGAATCAGACAAGTTCCACGACATCAAACACTGGGCGCCCTTTTTGTTGATTGGAGATGACGTCACTCTTGACTTCATGGATATTACGTAGACTCGAAAGCGAAAACTCAACCATTCATCCACAGGTATTCCAATAAAAATCCATAAATGTTCTAGTAATAAAGGCGAGTAAACATCCAGTTAGGTAATAAGGCAGGCTTTCTATGAACAGAAATTACACCTATAGCCGGTAAAATTACAATACACACGAAATACGATAGAACTTACCAAATGTTTCGAGTTAAGAGTGACTATAAGTCAAGAATTTTGGTGAGCAAAATATGTCAATTTGAATTGAGAAGTTCGCAGCCATATGTGATATTAAACTTGGATGGTTTTTCTATATCATAATTTACATTGTTACAAATTGCGATTATCTTTGCAAAAATATTAATTTTTTTAATTTTTTTAAAACACATTTTAATGCAATCTTATTTTATCTGTGCCAAGATTGCCATTCTAAGCTTAAAACATCAGAGATGATGATGTTATTGAATTTACTGACCATATGTTAAAGACATTAGACTTACTTTAAGGGGTGTAGCCAGGGGTGTAGGGAATTATTTTGGTGAAAAGGTTCATGATTCGAAGATGTCTGAAAATATCTTTCTTAGATTTAAGAATTTATACTTAGGTATTCAAAGCGCGCTTTGTGATTAGAACCCGTTTTGTGGTCAAAAGTTTAAGATACACTGTATCACAGCTGTTTTAAAAGAAGTTTTTTAAAATCAATCTTAATTTTGCAGATTTTCGTAACTGTCATTGGTATATACTGGAATATAATAATTAACCTCGCACATGGTTAAATATGATGTAATGTAGAATTTAAAAACGAGGTGGGACAGTTTTAACTAAATAGGCTTTGTATGATGTCAGTGTATTTCGTGTGAAGTGTTTTGATGCTATTTTTATTTACAGTTGAAGATAATTGTTCATTTACCTTAGTTTATATTGATTAACTCATGAACTCCCAAGTTCTGAAGAAAAATTCTCCCAACTGATAAGAATGTGTTTCTTTGTTGCTTCATTCCGAGAATTCAATGTGACATTACGTTTCTATCAAAAAATTATCCTCAAGTTAAGATTTTCTCTAATTCTTATTGACACCATGTTCAGTTGTTGGTGTTTACTGTGAGGAGAATTTAAATTATGGTCAGTCTTGAGAGTAAATGGGTTCATTTTAGCGCCTCTGCGTAATTTACTTAATGCCTTGAACAATTTTATGCAGCTTCCATTTTACTTATTCTTTTATCTCTGTGTAAGAGAAATATACAGTGTATAAAATACAAAAACTACGTTGATTTTCATTGTCTGTCTCCATATTCTAAGGATTCACGTGAGATGCAGAGAGAACAGATCCTATGGGGACTTCAATGCTTGTTTTGACCCGCGCGCGCCTAGTTGATAATCTTTGCAGCTGACAGTGTACTAACGTTTCATGTTTCAAGCCCACACCCAGTTAACAAACTCTCTGTATCTCTTCCACTGCCTATCGTTCCCCATATTGTCACACGGTTTTGAACGCCAACTGATGTGTTCATACTGTTTTTTTTACATGTCTGCGCTTTTTTTACCTTTTTCCTCACACAAGTTTTACACCTTTTCACATTTGCGCGTCCCTTATTTCTGCTTCCTTTTGTTCCATTCTATTTTTTTTTCATCGTACTTTTCCTTTATTCCCATTTTTACGCGCACTTCTTTCATCGCCCTCAACTTTATTCTTCTGCGAGCTTCATTAGACGCGACTATTTCACTGTCTGTTACAGTTTTCGTTTGTCTCAATCCTCGTGCAATGTCTGGCTTCTCACAGCTCATATACCTCCTTACTCCCCCAGAGTAGTTGTTATCATGCTTATTTTGTCCACTATAAAATGGTGTCCTCTTAACGTCATCTCTAATAAAATCTCAGTTTTCCTTTCGACTGATTCCCAGTCCACAGGGTCTCTCACTTTTTTAGTCTCACACGACAGCGTTTGCTCTCCTCAGTCCTCTCAACATAGTAGCAGTTATAAAGCGAAAGAGCTCCCTCCATGTCTCGGCGACATAATCGGTGCATATTGTCGGAAACGTCAAAGTTAAGCCTTCTATCACCTGATTGGGAATGGGTCAAACTCTCGCCCAAGGTCTACCTACATCGCAAATCCAAGATGGCGGCATGCCAATCCACAGACATCTCACAGTCGCTTGCCGCCGTCTTGTATGCAGACGCTGAGAAAAAAATGAAAAAGAGTTTTGAAAAGCGACAACTAAGCAAGAATAAGTTACTATAATACTTCCTAAGAGATAGTCGATAACAACATGAGAGATTCATCAAGAGCAAACATGTTCCGTCGATTATTGGACTCCATGTGTCCTTACATCGTAGAATAAACTCCTCGAATACGCACGCCTATATGTCCCTCTCCCCCCTCCCTTCAATAGCATCATACATTCCTCTACTAGAATTTTTATCATTACAAAGCACAATACAACACTATACCCCTGTGTACCACTGTAAATCCGTAAAATGCAGTTTTAATGTATATATAGCACCATACAACACTAAACATTCCTCAACACATTGTACATACGTACCCCTAGATAGCAATATGCTTCCTTCAACTGCAGTTTATATCACCATTCAGCGCTATGTAAACAATTGCCCCAATCTGGCGCGAAAATGAGTACGGATATTTGTCCGTGGACATTATCTGTTCCAAGATGCGAAAACTGTGAGCTTCGAGGAACAGATAATGTCCAGTGAAAAGTATCCGTACAAATTTTCGCGCTAAATAGAGGCTATTGTGTTTTTTATCCTTCTAATATTCTACAACGCACTAGAAAAAATGTTTATGAACAGCTTACTGAATTGAATAAATAAGGGGGGTAAGTTTCTAAAGAAACTGTAGGGAGAGTGTAATAGGGTAATTTACGATAAGTCTTCGATTCAAACTTAATTCTATTCAAGGTAGTTTAGTGTTATCAACTGAGTTGATAACACAAATTGGCCAATGTGAAGATTTCAAAAGCTCACGTTTCGAGCGTTAGCCCTTTCTTCACTAAGAGCAATTGCGAAGGGCTAATGCTCGAAACGTGAGCTTTTAAACTCTTAACGGTGGACAATTTACGTTATCAACTCAGCTGACAATACTAAACTACCTTGAATTTAATCAAGTTTGAATCAAAGACTTATCGTAAGGTTTGCAAATTGGGGAATGTCGATCGGGTGATATTTTCGGATATCACCCAGTTTTAGCTGGGAGATATTCAGTCACTTGCGGCGTTTAGACCAATCGCCCGCGTTCAAAACTATTTGACGGATCATAAACAACAATATGTACCCCGAGATAGCACTTTATTTTCCGCTGCTGAAAATTTTTCGTTAAACAAACAACATTGGAGTCATATCAAGGTTAGAAAAAAATTTTCATTTTTGATTTTAATTTAGCCTTTTGAATTTTACAAAACATACTTGTAAGTGCAATGACAGCTGAATGTTCCTGATAAAGACGAAACAACCTTGGCTTTGCTCTCTAAGACGTAGAATTTCGAAGATAAGGACTAAATATTTAGAAAGCAATTGAATGATTTCATATGTTCTGTAATGTTTACTCTGAAACGGTTTTTGAAAAAAATGAAAACCACTCCTAGCGTCCGCACAGAACTCAGGTTGTGCTTCTTGTGTTGATTCGCTACTCGTCTGTATTTGTCCTTTAGAATGATAAGTTTGATTTGAAACATTAAGTGTAGTCTTTTCTTAGTAAAATAACTGGCCTAGCTATGACTGCCCTATTGACCAGACCAGGTAGGAATTCGCATAAGTTGATCTTTTTACTTTTTTTCCCAGTTTAACACAGGGAACTCTTACACAATAAACTTTCAGCACCTTTGCTTTCTCAAAGTTCAAAAGCTCAAACTTTCTCAAAGTTCAAAGCTTAAACTTTCTCTTAGTTCATAACTTTTTCATTCAGTACGATGGTGTTGTAGTCTTCAGGGCTTACTGTTTTGAAAAATTCCTTAACTACACAGCATTGAATCACTGCTGTTTAGTGCTTCTTAATAATTGTGTGCTGAAAATAATACACGCCTATCAAAACAAAATTTCCATTTTTCTGTGAAGCGAGACTTACGACGTTCTTTTAAAAAGTTCGGTTTTGATCGTTTTTATCCCTTAGTATTGGTCAAAGGATCAACAGTTTTTAAGGAGAGATCAGTGTATTGTATTTCAAGAGCGAAGTGATTGATTGAATATTTCTGGAAGATTTTCTATGACAACACGTGTGGACATAGACGAGCATGCATCACTCCTAAAGCGCTCAACCTATTACATGCTTTTTCAAGACGAAGACAGGCAAAAGAAAAGATCCATCAAACTGTGGGCTGTTGGCTTTGCCTTGCTGTTACTATGGAATGTTGGCGACACATGATTCGCAGTGTAACTTGTTTCAAAGATAATTCCACAGCCTATTTTTGTGAGAGAGGTGCGGCGTTTCCATATTCCGAAGAAGTGGTGACATGGCTTGCTACAACTCTGTATTTTCACATTCTTGAAGTCTTGAAGTCTTATATAAACCATAAATTAAAAGATACTTATCCTATGTTACATAAACGAGAAACTGTGTAATGATAATTTCAATAATATACTATGGCCAAAATTAAATTACGTAATTATAACAAGTTTTATTCAAAAATTAGTCTACTCACAAATTTGTTCACGAATCGTTCTGTGTTAATCTTTGGGCAGAGGCGAACATTGCGACGTAAATTCTATTGCTGGGGTTTAGGCTTCGGCAGAATTTCATTTAACAGATGATGGCCTAGGGCCCTAGCTCCACCAAATAATTTCTTATCCTGCATGTGCATGATATCCTTGACATTCAATGGAACTGAAATATAATGCCACTTGTAACATCTGTTTAAAAAGTTCTTTACTGTGTTTAGATTGCGTTCATAAGCACCATACATTGAAAGGCCATTATCATTATCTTAAAAGGAGATCTATTTCATTATGGTCATATTGTTCCTTTCTCAGAGTTCTTAATATATGGAGGCACTTGTTAGCCTTAAATAGTT